CACTGGTAGAGCAGAATCCAGGTACGAGTGTGCGGAGAATATCAGCCGAGGTAGGAATTAGTGGTCCTCTTGTTTGGAGAATCCTTCACGAGCAACTGCTTTATCCATACCATGTGCAACGAGTACAGGCCTTAAATCCAATAAATGATCATCAAGCACGTTTGGTTTTTTGCCGCTGGTTTCTACGTCATGATGCTGAAGACCCTCGTTTTCTTGCAAACATTCTTTTTACTGATGAGGCCGGGTTCACAAGAAATGGAGTGTTTAATTTTCACAATACGCATATTTGGGCCGACGAAAATCCTCATGCTCTAATAGAATCTGGACATCAGGCACGTTTTTCATTAAACATTTGGATGGGTATTGTAGGTGACAGGTTTCTAGGTCCTGTTGTTTTACCAAACCGATTAACAGGCGCTGCTTACCTCAACTTTCTGCAGAACACACTGTATGAGTTTTTGGAAGACATTCCTTTGAATCAGAGGCAACAAATGTGGTTCCAGCATGATGGTGCTCCAGCTCATTTTTCCATGGCCGTTAGAGAGCATTTACACCAAACTTTTCCACATAGATGGGTAGGAAGGGCCGGACCTGTTTTATGGCCTCCAAGATCGCCTGATCTGAACCCTCTAGATTTCTTTGTTTGGGGATATTTGAAGACATTAGTGTATGGTACTCCTGTAAATAGCCTGGAAGAGCTGCAGCTACGGATTAATCAAAAGTGTCAAGAAATCCAAACCAAGGAGGGTGTTTTCGAAAGAGTTCGAATATCGTTGAGACGAAGATGTCGTGCCTGCTTGGAAATGGACGGAGGGCACTTTGAACATCTTCTGTAACTTTGTTTTTTGTTTGTTAAAAGCTTCCTTTGTAGGTTTATTCCTAATAAAATAAAATGTTTGAAAAACGAATAGTGGTCCATATCTAAGCAACCGTTACTTTGCGGACCCATGTTTATTAAGACTTTTCTGCTTATTTTGGTTCATACTATCTACTTTCTATTCTACTTTCTACTTTCTGTAATCAAGACTTGACATACTTTGTCGTTTATATCTCATCCACACTCAAAGCATATCCGTACATTATTTTGGCATACTGATGAGAATTATTATGTCGCGGTCCATGTCTGGAGATTCTGCGGAAATCTTAATTTAATATCATTTGTTGCATAAGCCATCATCATATATTTTTTACTGGAAAAAGAGAATAACCGGTCTAATATTTCAAGAAGACTTCGATTACAATTTGAGGAAGCTACCCTCCCCAAAATCCATAGCTATGAAATGCACAAACAATTTTTAGAAGGACAATATCGTGTTGAAAATCAAAGCTATTAACCAAGAATGAACGTGTGGATTTTTGGCATTCCTAATAAGATTTCATACTTAACAAATGTTTTATTTAATCTGATGTATACCTACGGTAATGTTACGCCTACCGAATACCGTCATTTTCATTCATTCATCATTTTTGGAACAACAAAACAGGTTCTGAAACGTCAGATTCATTCAACATTTACTCACTAATTATTATTTTCGGAAGCGAACATACAATGAATACCAATAATACTTTTAAGAAGTAGTAGTAACTTCCAATAACAATTAGTTATTACGAGGGGTATTCAAATTTATATGTACTACATATTTGTAATTTTAATTATGCATAAACGAAGAAAATAATTTACGAACTTTTATTGTTTTAGAGTAGTACCAGTTTTGTTCAACTAAAAAGTGATTTTAAATACGTAAATCAAATTAAAATGAACCAGATTGACTGTATATCATGAAAATGAAAAATTATATTGTAACAAGTATGTGTATGTCAACTTTTGTGTTCATTTAAAAAGAAGAATCTATTGTTACAAAATTTCTTTTTGCTGTATCGGATTTACCCTAGAAAAGCAATAAAAATTAGTCGACTCATCATTGTTCACTGTTTAATATTTAAAAGACAGTTAGACTTTTGAAGTCGATATAAGTCAATACACTATGTGTTAACAAAAGTGCTGACAGTATTATTATTAAGTTCTGGAATTTAGATGCACTAATAAGCTGTTAATTAGTTGAATACAGTGGATGTAAAGATAGATGTAGATCTTCCAGAGTCAATATGGTCTGTACCAAATTTTCCACTGACCAGAAGACTAACGAAGTTTGGTTAATATTGGAGCAGAAGGAACCTGATGATTAGCAAGCTGCAACATACAGACCACGAGCTTCAAGTCCATTACCATTGACACGTCCATCCATAAAAGTATTTTTATTCATAAAAACAAACAACAAACGTTTTTACATGAATACACGATAAAGAACTGACTTGTACTTTTGTAAATTTTGAAGGATGATATTACTTTCCTGGAGATATTACTGACTCGTTTATTAAGATAAAAAATTCAAATTTTGTGTGTCGTGTGCATACCGTCAATAACGGTTTTATTTTGCAATTTTCTCGAAAACGGATCCCTATCGAAAAAAGATATGTGCATATTCTTTATTAACACTACTCTTAGTAAATGCTATTACTATCGCGCAATTTTTTTTGAAACAGAGGTACTATTCGAAAAAAAGATGACTATACTTCTGAATGATTTCATTTATCATTGCCATATTCAATTCGGGTAAACTTACTAGGTAATACCCTGAGGGGGTAATCATCAAAAATATTGTGTATACTGAGGGCAAAGTTTATATAAGTCTGAAAATGTTCAATTGTATTCATAGGAGGTTTAATGTTCATGATATTCAGGTGATGAATGCTTGTCATTTCACGAAAATTCGTATTTAAAATAAATACACACTCTCGGTCGAGGAAAAATTCAGTAAAAAGTGTCTTAAATTGAGAAATAAAATGGAAGTTTTAATAAATAACTATGTTTTATATAAAAACAGAGCTAAATAAGTTATTTTCAGAATTATAAACTGTACCTAACTTTTTTCAATTTTATACTAATAAATCGATTGCTATTTTCATTTTCATCGATTTTTCATTCACATTTTCAGTGCTTTTACATACTTAGCCAGACTTACCCCGAAAGTGATTTTATTACCAACTGAATCATCATAACAAATTAATCATAAAAGCAAATGCAGACCGGCAATTAAAACATAGACACATTATTATTATCGCATCACGTACTATCACGTAAGTTTATCATGACAGGATAAAAATGACGACTTCACACTTGTTTTTTTTGTACAAATACTTTAATTTAAATATTAATATGTGCAAAATCGTTGGCTTATATCTTGTCACATGAATTCATGTGGCCTAACAATATTGAAAGTACGACAGTTTTTCCGGTTGTTCCTTAGCCTTAGTTAGGAATCTTTGACCTGTCCTTATTGTTCTCGCACTAGGCTCTGTGGGGGCGGAACCCTAGGCCCGCCCTGATTTTCATTTCGGTTTTTATTGGGTTTGAAGCTGTTGCGTTCCGTAGTGCAACTGGTCGTCGCCGATGCTTCCAAACGTTTCGCCGTGCTTCACTGTCGGCATCTTCAGTGATGACTCTGCAAATGCTTCACTGCGACTTAGCTTTAGAATAGAATAAACATATAAGAGCTAATAATAGAATACAAGAAGAATTCATTCACATTTTTTGCACACTCGGGTAATTTACTGAAGACATTCGTAAGTGACGTTTTTAGCGATCGGTAAGGAGGCGGAAAGTAAATGTAGAATTTTAAAAATGAACTTTTATTAAAGACAAAATTAAAATTTAAACAATTATTAAAATTTATTGGTGCCACATAATTCGGGTTTAAAACAACTCTTCTGATGATACTATAGTTGCTGCACATTTTATAATAATACTATGGACGGCGGTGTCACTTTCTGTCACCGTAGAATTTCCTAGAAAATTTCCACGTAAAATCCTGTTTGAAACTTAATTTTTATTTTCCACAAAGTCTTCGATATATCCCTCAGCTACAGAGGACGAACGCCACCCACCGTGCCGTGCCGTTTAAGGCCTAAAATATCTATTCCTTGGTTTGACAGAATACTGGCAGAACTTCTCCGTCTGGTATAAGTTGAGGGATCCGGCAATTTTAAGCACTGTGCAATTTTACTGGGACAACTTCCTATGGTATTTTTACCCATTACCTGGTTCCATTTCGTATTGCCAAGAATAAGTGAGCTGAATTTGCCTTAATACTTATTATACTACAATCTAGTCATATTCAGTATTTCTGACACAATTGTTTCAATATGTCATTTTTTCTAAAGCTTTTGTGTGTTTTATAGGTATATGTATAATTTTGTTCTGTTAATATTTAATTCCATTCGCAAAGAGGCTACCTGCTGACACAATCTTAAGTAAAATATGGAAACAAAAAGATCTCTTTATAGTAACTGTTTTTTACGTGTTAGTCTTTGTCAAGAGTGCTGTGTACATTATTTATTATTTAACAATAATTAGGCATATCATTTTTATATATATATATTTTGGATAATTACACAGACCGACAAAATCCTTTTTGTTTGTTTTAGGGACGTGACATAAAAAACATTATGACGTATGGATTCCCCCCACCACCACCACCATCGTCAATTCCCCCTAAAAATTAAAAAATCCAAACTGGCCATCTAACCTACCTATCTTTAGTCGAATTCTCTGAATCCGAAAATGGCAAAAAAAATTGTTTGGACGTGAGGAATGAATAGGGGGACTCATCCGTATTTCACACTTGCTTCTTTCAAAAATAAAAATAACACCCTGTATAACGCAAACGAGGAGTTTCCAGACATTTCAGATGAACTTTTATAGTACTTTGCTCTAAATTTTATTGTTGACAGTCCGTATAAATTCGAACGCCCCTCGTACTAGTTCTTCCTAGATACAACATCCTCAGCAAGGCACCTCACATCAGCCTTTTTCCACTTACGATCCTCTTAACGCAAGGGAGTGACGTCGAGGATTCCACCATCCTGGAGGTGGATGGAGGTGGCCGCAGGTTATACTCGCGGACGCCGGTACCACGGCGTTAAAAGTGTTCGCGATTTCTCGGCGAAACGTTGAGCGCAGAGCGAGCTGACAGTTCGCTGGTACCACTAGCATAGTACCACCGCCGTGTAGCGCATTGCCGTGCAATATGATTTGTTCCGTGATTTTGCCGGAAATGACTTGCCCGAATTTCTTTGAGGAACCTGAGTTATAGTAGTTTTTGTGTGTGGGTGCGTGATCGCTGAATTTAGAATTTGTGTGTAGCCCGGAATTTCATTCGTATATGGTGAGTTAGGTTATGTTTTCTGTGTGTTTGTATGCGGCCGCGGTTGAGTTTGATAAGATATCGAAAACATAGCGGCTGCTGATAATTTACAAATTGTTACAAGGTCTGTTTTATTTTACACGCTTACCGGTTTTACAGAAATAGGTGCAATGCTTAAATATCGCCAATAGGTTGATTCAAAGGACCTAATTCGAAATCCAAAATAAAATGATATTAATTTACATAAACTAATTTTTCAAGAATTGACACATAACGCTCAGATAAAATATGACTCCTTACGGAGTTACAAGGTGATTTATTTAAAAAAATATTTAAATAAATGATTTTTGCCTATTACTAAAACTGTACTCAACAGTAAAACCTAATGCAATGCAATCCCATGACAGAACACACCGACTTGAATAATAATAATATGACAAATAAATTACATAATAAAATAAAAATGATTGTGCAGCCATCTGTGTTTAACTTTAAAAATCTCGAGAAATAATGACTTTACCGCTATGAAGGAATAGCAGGTTAATTGCATAGAAAGTATTGAGGAAATGAAAAAATGTACCAAAATAAAAATTCCGCCAGTGGCGTAGACGTAGGAATGGCAAACTGCCCCTCTACCTCTGTCGTACGCTTCTGGTAGTAGTCATGAACGATTTTGTAGCATTTTTTAACATGCTCTAAAGTTTCTTAACTTTATGCCAAGTATGATAGGGAAATATCAAACAGGGTTGAAGTAATGGCCAAAAATAACTTAAAGATTTTTTAAATAAAACACCCTGTAACTCCGTAAGGCACCATATTTTATCTAAGCGTTGTGTGTCGATTGTTCATATTTTCTGCCCAGGATTATCCAGTTACCGTATGTACAATTATTAATGAACTAACTTTATTGGATCTGATGTATAAAAAGTAGCAAAAATCAGTTAATGTGAATAAAACAAATTATATGAATATAACTGTGTATTTACTACGTTTCTGTCTTAGCAAGTGCTACAATAACACTGTAGTTACCTCGGTAGCAGACTTCAGTTGGATTTAACACATTGAAACGTGAAAGAGGGCATTTTTAAATTATATCAGAGACAAAAAAATATCAGTGATTATAGGTATTCTTTGGGTTTTTATGAAAAAATTATTGCATTCTCTAACCTAGTCAATAAATTCATGCATAAAAGAATAAACAAACGAGGAAGTTCACTATCAGTTGCCCAATCACGAAAGTTTTTCTGAAGTACGTATTTGATCACAACTATTAAAATAGTATTGCAGAAATCGAGTTAAACAAAGCACAGTGTCAAATATCATTAACGAAGTGATTAATATATTACACTTTTTCGAAGACTCAATATTATCAGAGCTAGATAACCTCAAAGTTTAAATTGATTTATTGATTTATATATTTTTTAAATTTGAGATACTTATTATTAGGAACAAACTGTACCTATGGGATTTCATAATTAATTGTTTTGTTAGTGATTTTTCAAGGAATTAAATAGTAAATAAATAGTTAAAGGCCATTTAAAAATGTTACAAATGGTTATGTTATTCGACGTCTATAACATTAACCGTTTTCTAGGAAAAACGCATTTGATTTTCTGGAGCATACTTACAAACTGTTCAAATCTACCAATTTTGTCGTATAAACAAAATAATTACGTTTCATACAAATACGTTCATTAAAATCTATTTCTAATCTAAGTTAAGAGAAATATATAGTCTCAAATCACATTTTAAACCATTTTTTAATATATATAATAGTAAGTTATCTAATTAAAAAAAATGTAAATAAAAGGTATAATCAATAATAAAAAAATAAACTCTGGAATTACAATAATGTTTTTCTTAAATAAGCTTAATTTGAAAAAAAAAAACGTTTAATGGGAGAAAAAGTTTTGACAAAACGTTTATAAAAAAATTATGTTGAATTTATGTAACTTCGTTAATATTGCGTTTTCGCTCTTAATTTCCGGACACCCTATAGACCATATTTAGTTAACAGCAATGCAGTCTGACTTGTTGAAGCATAGCATCTGCTGCAAAATCTGAAATAAATGCGAAACACTATTCATTTAAAATGAACCAAATGCTTTTGTTGCAAAATTTTATTTTAAAACATTTGCTTTTGCTTTTACTTTTTACTTTAATTGCTTCTGTTTTATTCATGAGACCCATATACACACTATTTTGTGTGGATCATGATTAAAATGGCATTCAAATAATTTAAATTTCAACTCACACCAGTGACATTCTTCATACAGTGTATCTGTTTTTTTTTTCGTGTTAACACACCCTTAAGTACAAATAGGCCAACGGATCAAGTAGGACTATTTTTTTATTGGTAAGGATTTTTTTATTAGAAAATATAATAACGTATTTCTACGCCCCAAAATAGGTGTGAACCAAATTTGAAGGAAAAATATCCATTGTTTATTACTTAACTGAGAGGTAGTTTCAGAAAATTTACATTGTTACTGTTATTAATCATTATTTTTTTGCTATACGAAATCTTTCAACCATCAAATTAAATACTTTTTCTTGTGATTCTAAACAGCTGATTTTGATTTCATGGCATCCTAGACGTGCCGCACAAAATTTTATTTTGCATTTAAAAAAAATAATCATTAGACATTTCTTCAAATTTAGTACACAACTACTTTGGGAAACGTAAAACAATCCTACGGTTTAATTTTTTATTAAAAAATCCCTAACATATATATATTTTTTAATGCATTTACACGAAATCATCATAAAATCATAGCTTGCCATGCGTTCAGGACAATGGGAAACCAAATGATAACCTGTCAAGGCCCCCTCGACAAAAAATAGCCCCACTTAATTCCGCCAGCCTACTTGTATTTTAGAGTATTAACAAAAAAAAAAACAGACACTGTCAAATTATGACACACCATAGGAGACAAATAGTTTTTGTCATTTTTCAAATCCTTGTTGAACGAAAATTATCTCTTAACTTTTGTAGGTTTTGATATAAATTGGTTATTTATAAAGATGATTCGTTTAGATAAAAGACTTAAATAATTTTGAAAGCAAATGTGTACCTATCGACAAAAATATTCTTAAATTTATAGATGAAATATATATTTTTTAGTTAACTGTTATAAAGCATCTCCCCTCCATAGAAGCTTAAACAGAGCAGATGTGGCGGGGAAACGGTCAGGATGGAAATAAACAGTTGTCCTCAAGAAATTAGTAGAGGGAGATAAGATTCTTGAGCTGCTAGCAACAAGATATTCCCTACCACAATTTTAATAAAAATTTCAGTGTAGAGATACCGGAGAGAGCGACTTGACTTGCTATTATGACTATCTGACGGATCCGGGACTTGCGAGGGCTCAGGGTATCTGCGGTAAACTTCTTTTGTACTCTGGAGAAGTCTTCCAGGTCGAACTGTTCATAGTCTTTGCTTGCGCATAAGAAAATCACAGAGGGAGAAATAGACAATACTTTTGCTTCTGTCACACAGGACTATCTTCCACGCAATGAAGTATGTCTCTGCCCCTGTTGGGATGCTAAAATCGTGTGAGCCTAACCCCAGTTCCTTGTCACAACAATGTGACTAGGAATGAAAAAGCTGACATGTTGGCTAAATAGTGCTCAAGTATTCAATTCATGGATCTTGAACCAAAACTTGGACTACCGCAGTGTTATATAGAAGAATCCATTGATAACTGGATCAAAGGACAATCATTGGAAGAACAGCCAGGCGGATCTAGTTTGCGACAGGCCAAACTTTTCACAGAGGATCCTTGGGCTGAAGCAGATTGGAAAACTGGTTCGTTCAGTAGAAGCAACATTGAGATTGGCACACAGGACTTTTAATAAGCACCTCAACATAATTGGTCAGAGTACCAGTGCCATTTTCAGGTTATGTGGTCACGAAGACGAAGATATCCTCTGTTATTGTGCTTACTTAATAGTAAAAGTACACAAATACTTGGGGGCAGTATTTATGTCACATCCGGACATCATAGAGATTCCAGTAGAGCTTACCTTCGCAATAACTCCTATTAGCGGCATGCACAATGGGTCGTAAAACTTGAGTGCTACAAGTAACTGCACCGCCTTTCACAACAACGATAACAACAACAACATCCGGCATTTTAGTATATATACCACAGTTATACAATATTAATGATATAAAAAAATTATATTGCTGCCAATATTTTGAATACACACCTGTATAATAATATATCATTAACATGATAAAACTATTACTTTTTTTAATGTAACTTCTGCTTGTGAAATTAGGTACATTTATCCAACATTATTTCTTAAAACTGTATCAAAAATAGTCTCATTGCTCTATTAAACTTTGCCAAACGTACATTAATCCATTTTTTACTTTTTGGCAATCGCTATTTCCATATTATTTTTCGAGGAAATTGAATAAAAATATTTCGAGACGTCTCTACTGTTTGAATATTATTACCTCCTTATTACTAATACATTATTATTTTTTTAAAGTTAAATTAATATTTCTAATTTTGTTCATATACCTACTAAAAACCATGTAACATTTTTATTAATAAACTGTGATAATGTTTGATAAATCTTTTAAAATTATATTGAAGTGTCGATTACAGATTCAGGAAGAATATACAAACTGTAAGGCTTTAATGAGTGATATAAGACTAAATCATTATAGAAAGAAATATTCATATAAACATTGTGTCTTCTTTATTTACAATATATAGGGTGGTGTATTTTCCGGTATGTTTTTTATACGTAAAGCAAAGTATTCTTGATTTATCATAACACAGGTTTATTATAATCCCGATAAAGTTTTTAGCATAGTCAGTTCCAATTGTAGTTTTGGCGCTTGCGTTTGCGTTAATGCTATTACCTTTTGACTGCAGAACAATTGATGTTTTTTGAAATACAAATAAAGGTATTTTAAAAATCAGCCTTTTTCGTGGGACATAACTTCCACAACTATGACATTTTTGAAAAACTTGTACCTACGGCAAAAAAATGCTTTTGTCAAT